ATTCCTCCATTAACAAAATCTTCATGGTATCAGAGCTGAGGTCCTGAATACCTTGTTTGTGTTCAACCATGATTGAAACTGATGAAGCCAAGAGTGGTGCCGATGGGAAGAACAGTAGCGACACATCGTCTCCTTATTACTTACACCCATCTGATAACCCAGGGCAAGTTTATGTCAGTGAACTGCTTAATGAAGGCAACTATGCGGAGTGGGTGAACGACATGGCGAACGCTCTCTTCGCTAAGAACAAAATAGGATTTGTTGATGGCACATTGTCAATGCCGTCTGTCGACTCGTCGGAACTCAGTGCGTGGATGCGTTGCAACGCAATGGTGAAGGGATGGTTGAAGAGTTCGATGGACAAGGATGTTCGCATTAGCGTACGTTACGCTAAGAGTGCTCGTGAGATATGGACAGATCTCGAGGAGCGATTCGGAAAAGGTAATGCGCCTCGCGTATATGAACTCCGAAGGCAGGTAGCAATGATGCGGCAGGATCGATCTTCAGCACCCACTTACTACACCAAGCTGAAAAGCTTGTGGGATGAAATAGAGACGATCATGCCGATGCCTAAGTGCGAGTGTGGTAAATGCACGTGTGATATTGAAAAGCAGCTTGTTGAAATGAAGGAACGAGATCGCTTGTACGAGTTTCTCATGGGACTAGATGAGGCATCCAACACCATTAAAACTCAGATTCTTAGTATGAAACCCACACCAAGGCTGGGACAAGCATACCACCTGGTTGCAGAGGATGAACAACAAAGGCAAGTTTCAGCTATGCAGAGGCCTGTGATCGAAAGTGCGGCGTTTCAAGTGCGTACTGATAAAGTACCCAGAGATGGAAAAAGGGAAAAGCCTAAATGCAATCATTGCCAAAAGTTAGGACATACAGAAGATCGATGTTACGAGTTGATTGGGTTCCCTGAGGATTGGAAGAAAGGGAGTCGTGACAAACGAGAAAGACGGACAAACTGGGGTGAGAAAAAGGGTATGCCACGTGCTGCACAGGTGAGCATGACTGAGAGTCCTATTCCAGGATTGACAACTGATCAATATGAACGCCTTCTACAATGCATCAACCAAGAAATAGATGTCAATAAGGTTGAAAGTGGACCGCGAGCCAACATGGCAGGTATGGTGAATTCTAATAATAGCTGGGTGATTGACACAGGGGCAACCGACCACATAGTTTGCAACCCAACGTTGTTGCATAACATTTCAAAGGCTTTAAATCAGCCTCCAGTGCAAATTCCTAATGGAGATAGTGTGCAAGTGGCAGGCATTGGGCAGGCTACAATAAATGATCATCTACAGCTAGACAAAGTTTTATATATCCCAGATTTTAAATGCAATTTGTTGTCTATAATGAAGCTGCTAAAACAATATGATTATATGGTGATTCTTGTGCGTAATATTTGTCTTATCCAGGACTACAGATCGAGGACCCTGATTGGAGTGGCTAGAGAACGGGATGGGCTATATATGTTTGAGTCGAAAATGTCACAAAAGGCAGCCACGCATGTGCGAAGTGTGATGAATGTGCGAAACACAGTGGATCTGCAGGTTTGGCATCATCGACTCGGGCACCCTCCTGAAGACAAAATGAAGAAAATGAGTCTACTCTCAAATGCTTTCAATAATGAGCTCTTGGCACACTGTGATTCTTGTTTAAGAGCAAAACAGACCCATCTTGTATTTCCTTCTAGTACAATAAAAACCTCTTCTTGTTTTGACATGATCCATTGCGATATATGGGGTGGATATAAAGTACCATCTTTGTCAGGTGCACATTACTTCCTCACCATTGTAGATGACTTTAGTCGAACTGTTTGGGTCTATCTCATGAAGCATAAGTCAGATGTGAAAATATATTTACCAATGTTCTTGACCATGATAGAAACACAGTATGGGGCACGAGTAAAAACAATTCGCACAGATAATGGCTTAGAATTCCAGTCCAGCTTCATGCTTGCATTGTATGTTGAGAAGGGCATTACACTACAAACCACGTGCCCATATACCCCACAGCAAAATGGGGTCGTGGAGCGCAAACATCGATATATATTGGAGGTGGCTCGAGCATTACGTTTTCAAGCGGGCTTGCCAACGTCGTTTTGGGGGGAGTGTGTGTTGACAGCTGTGCACCTTATCAATCGCCTCCCGTCGAGGGTGTTGCGTCATAAAACACCATATGAGGTGCTACTCGGTAAGACACCGACATATGAACACTTACGCAGTTTTGGGTGTTTGGCATATGCACACAACTCAAGAATTGTAGATAAGTTTGATGAACGTGGGAGAGCGTGTGTCTTCATCGGATACCCCACAGGCCAGAAGGGATATCGCTTGTACGATATCCGTAGTGGAGAAGTCTATGTATCACGCCATGTGGTTTTCTTGGAAACTCAGTTTCCCTTCCAGAACCTACAAACCGAGACTACAGCTTCGGTTAGTAAGCCACCTACCCATGGTGCCATTATTGATGATGAAGAGGTAGCACATGCATCAGAGGCACCACTTACTAGTCATTCTTCTCTTGTTGAGACTGGTGCTGCATCAAGTACTGAGCAATCGGTTGACTGTCTTCCTACTGTAGAAGTTGAACAGATTGACGCAGTTCGTCGTAGTCAACGAACCAGGCGAGCACCAAGCCATTTAGGAGATTATGATCTCGACCTTCCAACTTCTTTAGCCCATCCGTCTCATCCTACTCTACCCTCTTCAGGGATCTCGATATCTGCATCAGGTAACTCCACTGCACACCCTCTTACTAATTTTGTTTCTAACGTGCGTTTCTCTTCCTCGCACAAAGCATTCTTGGCAGCAATTGATAAGCAAGATGAGCCCAAGCATTTTACAGAAGCAGTCCGCCATGCACATTGGCGTGAGGCCATGGCATGTGAGATCGAGGCTCTTGAACAGAATGGTACATGGTCGATTGTCGATCTCCCACCTGGCAAACATGCTATTGACTCGAAATGGGTATACAAAGTTAAGTATAAACCCACGGGAGAGGTAGAGCGATATAAGGCTCGTCTCGTAGCAAAAGGATTTACTCAACGAGAGGGTATCGACTTTCATGAGACATTTGCTCCGGTTGCTAAGCTTGTGACCGTACGGTGCCTTCTTGCTCTCGCTGCCAAGATGAATTGGTTTGTCCACCAACTCGACGTAAACAATGCTTTTCTCCATGGTGATCTCGATGAGGAAGTATACATGAAGATCCCACAGGGTTTCCATCGTTCTGGACCGCGCAAGGTGTGTCGATTAAGGAAGTCCCTATATGGTTTGCGACAGGCTTCACGGAACTGGTATCACAAATTCACGGATGCCCTTCTTGCACGTGGTTTTGTACATTCTTCTGCCGACCATTCTCTTTTCCTTCATCGACAGGGGGAGCGGTTCACAGCAGCCCTTATCTATGTGGATGATGTTTTATTGGTAGGTAATGATGAGACTCACATGCAGAGTGTAAAGACTTTCCTCCATCAGCGATTCAGCATCAAAGACCTTGGGAAGCTAAAGTACTTCTTAGGCATTGAAGTTGCCCGATCTAGTGAGGGGTTCATGCTTAGTCAACGAAAATACATCCTAGACATTTTGAAAGATAGTGGAATGATGGGGTGTAGACCATGCTATACTCCCATGGAACAAAGTTGTAGATTAAAACCCACCGACGAAGACCCTTTTGCTAATGAAGGACGATATCGTCGCTTGTTGGGAAGACTCCAGTACCTCACCATCACACGCCCTGACATCACCTATGCTGTTAATGTATTGAGTCAGTTTAGTGGGTCACCACGTAAGATCCACATGGACGCTGCAGAACGCATCCTCCGCTACTTAAAAGCGACTCCAGGACAAGGAATTATTATGAGAAGCTCTGGTTCATTGGGGCTCGTTGCATACTGTGACGCCGATTGGGCAGGCTGCCCAATGACGAGGAGGTCGTGTACTGGATACTTTGTTAGTCTCGGCGGTTCTCCAATCTCATGGCGTTCCAAGAGACAAAGTGTTGTGTCTAAATCATCCGCAGAGGCAGAATATCGTGCGATGGCTTGTACTGTGAGTGAAGTAGTTTGGTTGAGATGGTTGCTCAAAGAACTAGGTATTCATTGCTCAGAAGCCACTCCTCTTTATTGTGACAATCAGGCTGCACTTCATATAGCAGCAAACCCCGTCTTTCATGAGCGAACTAAGCATGTCGAAATGGATTGCTACTTCGTTCGCGAGCGGATACAGTCCAAGGAAATATCCCCACGAAAGATTTGGACAAAGCATCAGGTGGCTGACATATTTACGAAGGCCTTGATCAAGGAACGCCATCATGATCTGACTAGCAAATTGGGTGTTACGGACCTTCACACTCCAACTTGAGGGGGAGTGAAAGCGTGCATGCATGGTACTCTCGTGCGTAATAACTATTCACGTGGGCTCATGCGTGATATGCGGCATAACTAAAGCACGTGACTGTAGGGATTTAGATATTATTATTTTAATTGTAAATATCGTGAGATCACAGGAGATATCTTAGGCAGAACATACGCGAGGATTACGATCGCGTCTCTCTGTATATATGCTTGCCGTGTGCAGCTTATGCTTTGAATAAAAAATATTCCTCCATTAACAAAATCTTCAAAATTTAAAGATAAGTAATTATTTTATTAAAATAAAATTTAATTAAAAATATTTTATATTTTTAAAACGAAAGTTTACATTTTGGAAGGGGGGGTGTGGGGAAGCAGTAACCCAAATGGGGGCAGAAACCAATCGTGCGTTTTGGGAAACCCATGGTACATTTTCATGAGGCAGTCTAACGATGACGTTTCGCTATTTAATTCCTTCTCCTCCGACTGTTTTGAGATAGTTGGAGGAAGGACTCCGATCCGAGGCCACAAGGGAGACGAAAGCCATCTCAACCGTCAATCTTTATCAATAAAATAAATAATAATTATTTTCCATCATTACTCCCTTTATTAGCTCCCTTTCACCTTGCTTTTTCCCTCTCAAAGCTTCGCAGAGCCAAAAATTGCAAAACCAGAGAGAGAATGAGTGACCATAAACGCAATGCTTCATCAATTGCTGCCGCTATGGAAGCTTCTATTGAAGCTACCATGTCCAAGAAAATGAAAACTGATATTGCTTCTTGTCAATTACAGCTGCCTTCTTCCGGTGTGCAGCTCCGAAGCTCACATGTGCCGGACACAGCGATTTCTCCGGCCACCTCTCTGAATTCCACTGAAACGGTGGTTTCCGAAGAACATTTGTATGGTCGGTTACCATTGTCCTTTTCCTCGGTATCCAGCGCTAATAACGTTGAAACCATCGGTGCTGTTGAAAACAGCACGGCGGCGGCGTCGGATCTGGAGGTGCAATTTCGAATCTCTGTTTATGTTAACGTTTGGTTTTGTATATATTCTTCTGTGCGATTTCTTTTAAATCCTCTTGGTCGCTGATGATTTGAGTTCTAGCCATAGCAAAAATATTTGTTTCTTTCTGTTGCCTTGGTTTTTTTTTTTTTTGTAAACCCTCCATGGCACGAAACTATGAATGTAATGGAGATATATAGTTATATGGTTGGTCTGTTGATATTTTCTTGGTGGCCAAGCAGTTTCCCCAAGTCATTACAATTTAGTAAAAGTTTAAGTTTCTTTCCTATTCGAATTGTCGTTATTGACCAAGTAATAAGCATATTTCTAATGTTAATTCATACATTAAATTTGATCCTGTAGACCAGCGTTTTAGAAGCTGGAGACTCAACGTATAGCACCTTCAAATTATTCAGGTTTGAAATCGCTTTTCTTGTTCTCTCTCTTCCTGTGTAAGCGCAATTTTCTGAAGAAGCATAACCATCATCATTTTTTTCTTTTTTTTAATTATATGACGTGTAGCAAAGACAGGTACTCGTTGAACGACTTTTGCGGAGATTCGGAAGAAATGAAGGTATTTCCGGTGAGGTCTTCAGTAGATGCGAGCGAGAATCGGAAGTTTCCGGCGTCAAAGATGGCGCCAAAGGAGGAGATTGAAGAGTTCTTAGCAATGGCAGAGAAATACGAGCAAAAGCGTTTCGCAGAGAAGTGAGTGTAAAAACTAAAATCTGTGTGGTGCGCAGGATAAGGGGTGTGATCCCCAAGTGCGCACCGTAGGAGTAGCAGTGAAGGAATCGCGAACCCCTAGCTAACTAACAACTTTCCCCGTTTCTGCAGGTACAACTATGATATTGTTAAAGATATGCCATTGCAAGGTAAATATGAATGGGTTCGTTTAATTTGAATCCATGAAAGTGCCTTACGGAATTGACTGTGCCACTTCTGGAGCTTCTGTTGAAGAAGACGTAGAGTTGCTTGATTTTGTACAGCTAACACGTTGGATAGAAGTAAGAAGCTACAATTCTCTACGGCATCGTTTAAGGCTCTGATGGAAACTTCCTTCTACAGACTAGAAAAGGAAAAAAAAAATTAACTTATAAAAAGATAAATCGCCATATTATTTCTCTGCCTTACTTGTAATTGAACCTCTCCTGCATATGTTGAAGTTTCTGGAGGATTATGCACTTGATGAGGTTCAGCTAAACTCTTGGGGCGGCTCTAAAATTGGTAATTTTTTAGTGAATGGAAAAAGGTGTCCTTATTTTAATTTCTTGGTGTCTTTTTTATATGGAGCTTGCTTTTGGACGTTTTAGAGAGTGATTCTTTTCAGCTTTCCGCGCAGCTTGAAATGATCTTTATGGGATTATTCTGTTTCATAGACTCATTGGGTAATATCCTCTCCATTCGAAGCGATGATTCCATGTTTCTATGCCCCCATATTGCGGGGACCATGTGCCCTTCCTAGAGAAATGCCTGCATATCAAACTAATTAGGTCCTTGATTCACTGTTAATGATTGAAAGAATCAGAGTACCATCAACGGCAATATATTTAGCTCTTGCTTAGAAATAGAATAAAAGAATATCATACCCACCCTATGTCCTAACCCTTTTAATTATTCCTATGACCCCCCGTACCCTTGAGCCCATAGCTAGACTGGTCGTCGGATCTATTTAACATTACACATGAAAATCAGTTTCTTCAATTTTTGCTCCTTTGTTTCATAGCTGTAACTTGGACTAAATTGAACTATTTTTTCACCCCTAACCAACATCACAAAAATTAAAACACTCCTTGCAAATTAAGTACTATAAATTCATGTACATCGAATTGATATGATGAGTAAAAGAAACATTTAATTTTAACCTATGCTTGACTAAGCCTTTAAGTATACGAACAAATTAAGTATAAACTCCTATAAGTTGAACTATTTACCCTTTGATTTTGATGGAAAACGAAATAGGGAAAAAATGATACTGGGAAGAAAAATAGCCAAAAATAAATAAAAATTACTTTCTTTGGCAATTTTTCTTTCAAGTATTCTCTCCCTGATCTATTTCTTCTTATTTTCCGGTCCATTCAATCCAAACATTAATTTCAAAGGGGAGGAATATTAATCGTGTTTGTGTTGTATTGGAATGTCTTGTCAATGTTATTATGTATCGAGGACATCATCCAGCATAAAATAAAAAAGCACTGTGAAGTGAGGGAGTAGGCAATCGATGCCTTGAAAGCAAACATTATAATAATTGACGATAACAGGTAAAGACTAAAGAGTACTGATCAAAGCAACCAGTGAAGCAAAACGAGCAGAGGCAAGCAAAGCAGCTTTTGTTTTGCGTAGTTTTAATAATGATGATGAAAGAATTAAGGGTTGGCCAGAAAAGGGGATGGAAGATGATGACATAATATTCGTTAAGGGAGATGAAGAAACGAAGTGTGACAGACGACATTGTCGGATTTATAAGAAACAGCGTACATACACACATAGACCCCTCCATTATGATTATTCTGTCCACAATGCGAACAATACCACACTCCCTTAGCTTATCCCACCCGTCACTCCTTTCTTGGTGGTAGGGGACGCTTTCCATCCTTTTGTTACCCCATTAATTAATAAGCACCTCCTTGTTGCTTTCAATTTTTTCTGAGTTATTCTAAGTTAACTAAGAACCATTTATTTTCATGATACTTATTGATTTGATTATATAAAATGGTGGACCAGCGTTAGCACACTCCACACTTATATATATATATATATATATAATCACAATCATAATCATAATGTTATCCAGGTTTTACCTGACAACAAGCTTCCATAATTTATTGATGGAAAATAAAAAAAAAAGAAAGTAACCCAATGAAGTTAGAAGTAAACAACATTTTAAAAACTGAACTGAATTGGTTGGTTCAATCGGTTAAATCAAAAACCGACTGCTAATCCAATTCGTTGACCTCTCAAAATAAGCTACAAAGAAACCAGTCAATGACCCAAAAAACCAATAAAAAACCAAAAAAACAGGTAAAAAATTAGACAGGTTCCCTTAAAAATTGGTCTGAATTAATTAAGAATTTAAAAATTAATAAAAACAAAGAACAGCCAAGAATAATTAATATTAATCATATATTCATTAATAATATATCATTTTATCATGCATTTATTAATATTTTTTAAAAATATAAATATTTGCACTTATTTCTTATTTAATTATGGTACATAAATTAAAAATATATTAAGTTAATGTCAACACGGTTGTACCAATGGATTGTGAACTAATGGCTAGTCCGGTTCAATAATCAATTTAATTTTTAAAACCTTCGAAGTAAAGCTCAAGAATAACATTATACAAGTTTATTTTTTAAAAATAAAAATATATATTTAAATGAGATTCATTTAATATAACAACATGATTAAATTATTACACTACAATCATTTTAATTCTCTTAATTTAAAAGGTAATATTAAAAAGAATTATAAATTAAACTTTATTTTTATCAAACTATCTTATATGTTGAGATAATGAAATATCTTTAAAGTTATCTCATAGTTTGAGACAAAAGAAGTATTTATTTTTGAGGAAAAAATGACAGTAAAGTTCAAAAAGATTAAATTCATGGTAGTTAAGTTACTAATAAATTTTTTTACAAAATGAATTACAAATATTGTTTCAAACAATTGCAAACAGACATCTTAATTAAAAATTAAAAATTACATTTAGAATTTAATATCTCACTTACAATTGGAACCTATGCATTTACAACTATTTCAATAGATATTTGTAATTTATTTTTAAAAATTTTTTAGAATTAAATTATTGTTAATTCATTCTGCTCAGGCTTAACAATCATTCTCTCTATTTTTAACAGGATCACAATGTCTATGGGGACTGTAGACAATTAAAAAACGTCCAAATCCTTAAATATAATACCCTTCTTTTATAAAAAGATCAATAACATTATATTAGTAACTAAATATTGCAAAATATAAGTATTATAAAAGTCTAAATTATAGTCGTGCGATGTGACAGATTCAAAGAAGTGAGCCACTAAATGAATCTCCCGCACCAAAAGCCGTAGTTTAACATGTTCATAAAAGTTCGATAATAAATTCTGCCAAACTAGATGCACTTCTCTGATTTAATTTATAAATCACTTTTATAATATTTTATTAAAATAAAAAAATTCAAACCTCATTAATTTTATTTTAAAATTTAATAAATTCTCACTTCTACCTTTTAATAAAGACAAAGAATTATTTTTAATAATTTTTTTTAACATTTAATAAAGGTAAAAATGTAAATATGAATATAAAAAATAGTGAAGTGCCATATAAATATGATTAAAATTAATTTTTTCTTTGTACCTTATAAATAGATCAGAGAAGTATTTTTTGTCACCTTGTTAATGAATAATATAAGGAGCATGGAAAATATACTTCTTACAATCTTATTTATAGAGTAGAGAAAATAATTTTTTGTTTCATTTATAAATCACATCATTAAATTTTTATTACAAACTTTTTCTTTTATCCTCCATTGAATGTTGGAGAAAAAAATATCTTGTTAAAGCATGTATAGTTAATAGAAACAAAGTTGATAATTTATTTAATTTTTAAATAAAGTTAATGAGGTTTAAATTTTTTTTGTGCCTAAAAAATATTTTTGAAGTAATTTATAAATAGATTCATAGGAGTGCAAGGTTAACAATGTTTTTATCAATAAAATATCATGTGAAAATCAATGCAATACTCCCTCTAATCTAAAATATAAGATATTTTTAACTATAATTTAAATACTAATAAAATTCAGTTACATCCTTATTTTTAGTTATAAATATGATAATTTTTTCTTTTTACCCTTTTCCCCAATAGTTAGCAATAAATTAAATGAGAAAAATAATATTTTTTAATAAAATACAGTAACACGAGAAAGCGAAAACCTCCTTGCAAATCAATAAAGTTTTAGCTATCATAAGAAGTGAGAAAAATATAATAAATACTAATAAGATTACACAACAAACTAAGTTAATAAATACAAGGATAAAATAAGAAAAAATTTCAAAACCTACTAAGTGTCTTACATTTTGAACCAAAATGAATTGAAAAAAAAAAATTCTTATAATTTGGACTGGAAAAAGTAATTAATATTTTCTATTTTCAAACTATGAACACCTTTTAACAATAATTCATGTATCAATAAAATATTTATTTTTATAAAAATATATATTATATTTTTTTTACTCTTAGTTTCAATTTACTCTCTTCAGTCCCTATTATATAGTATCTTCTAGAAGAATTTTTTTAGTGTTTAATAGGGATTTGATGAGATATTAATTATATTTTTTAAATTTTATCCTTATTTAAATTTATTAACTATGAAAAAGAATATAACGTAAGTTTGAAAAAATTTTATTTACATAAAGATAAAATTAAAAATTTATTATATTTTTAGATAAAATTAATAGCTTAATTATCTCTCTTTGGTTCTAGTGAGATAAGTAAAGATGCCTCGCAACAGGAATCAAGGGAAGTATGATGAATGGGGAAAAGGTCAAAGATTCGTAAACACAATAATATAGATTAACAAATGCAAAAGATAAAATGAGATTTTTTTTATAAATATTAAAAATATTTATATTTTGCACTGAGACTAGCAGGAAGAAAATGTTTATAATTTGGATTGGATGGAGTATTTTTTTTTTCTGAAAAAGCCCCTAAAATATAAATGCAGGGGGAGGACGGAGGGATTAATCAGCAAATTTATAACAGAGAAAGAAGAGTTAAAGAGAGGGGGAGTATTTAATCAAGGGTATTTAAAAAAAGTGGTATAATTTTATAGATATGACCATCAACTAATTTTAGCTATTTTTCTTGCTATGTAGTAAGAAATTTAGTAGTTAAAAATATATTTTGAAAAAAGAAATGGAAGAATTAGTAAAGACAGTAATGATGATTGCATGATTGGGCAACAAAAAAAATTGATGGATAATAATGGCGTTCAGATCATGCCTTTTTAAATCACCATCGTTCCTTAATTAATGATGGCTGAATGATTAGATAAGAAAGTAATAACATGACTCATGAGGTTTCGGAGGGACAGAATGGGAAAATTCTTTTTCTTTCCCGCCATAGAACCGATCTAATTCTTGATAATCAACCGTGCTTGGCTCGTTGACCAATTAACAAAATTGTGTTAAGCTAGTCCTATTAATTTTTTAATATTTTTAGGAAAAACTACAGATAGGAATCTATAGTTTATAATATTATCTT